CAGAACTGTGACTCAGCCTGAAGAAGACTGAGAAAGGATCTCATTACTGTTTATAAATATCTAAAGTGTGGGAGCAAAATGGATGGGATCAGGCTCTTCTCAGTGGCGTGCAGCAACAGAACAAGGGGCAACAGGCACAAACTGGAACACATGAACATGAGAAAGAACTTCTTTACTGTGAGGGTGACAGAGCACTGGCACAAGCTGCCCAGGGGAGTTGTAGAGTCTCCTTGTCTGGAGATATTCAAAACCCACAGGAATGCTTTCCTGTCAGCCTACCATCAGGAACCTGCTTTAGTAGGGGGTTGGACTTTATGAATCCTAGAGGTTCCTTCCAAAGCCTACAATTCTGTGATTCTGTGAAACAGGAGGCATTACTTTCAGAGTGACCTATATACTACATTCCAGCACAGGGATCAACCCCATGTACAAAAAGACTCAGACCACAAGTCATAAACAAGGAAGTAAATAGCTTATTTTTACAAAGTAATTTTATGCATCAAGGACATAGATTTTACCTTTACAAATAATTGTGCATTTCCATGAAGACATTTTACTCCTGAAATGCAAAGTAAAAGCAAAAGAAAATATAACTGTAGATAAAAATTCCCTCAGCAACTTAAGTAACAAACAGTTCAGCATGGGAAGTAATCAGTCATCTCTCAGTTCTGCCAATATATTCAGGATTTTGTTTTTTGTAACCAAGAAAAAGAACAGCAATATCATTGCTTTTCTATTGACATTGCAACAAAAAGACAACTAATTTTTATAAATGAGATCTTTTCAGACAATCTGAACTTCAGATGTAATGCAAAATCTTCAAGCACTATCTTACAGGTGACTGGCAGTGTACCAGTTGCTCTAATCTGAAAAATAATTGCTTTTATTCATGTTTCTGTCTCTTCAAACAAACGAAATTCACATTCACACAGAAAGGAAAGTACCAGATTATTTCAGTTCTGAAACATGCTTAAGTTAACAACATAATGCTTATGATTTGAATGTTCTGTGTTGCCTTTTGGTGTAAAGATTCAATGCATGCAAAATAAGTTAATTTTATAAATTGAAGAGTCCTTTGCAACCAGCTGCTGCTATGTTTTGGTCTCAGGCAGACTGCACAAATGGTGTTGCCTTTAAACAGACTAAATTTAGAAATTATATTTACAGCAAATCACAGTACAACCTTTGGTTTTAAATTCACATGCACATTTCTCTACTCAAATCTCTGTATTCTTTCAAGTACCACAGAACTGTTACTCCAGTTAATTGTGATTTTCCTGAATCAAACTCTAGGGAAAAAAACAGTCGATTCTTAGTTTTAACCAAAAAGGAATAAAGTATTCATATAACATCAAATAAGTGGCCAAGGAAGAATAAAATTATTCAAGTCAAAACATGAATATCTTTAGAAGAAACTCTTCTGTACATTTTTCCATCTGAATTAAGAACAAATAAGGTTAGTACATGATGGGGAAGTATATCCTAGATGAATGCAAAATCAAACGAGTATATGTATGACACAAGCTTCTAAGCTGCTAATCTTTATACCATGCAGGTATGTATTGGGTATAAAAGGACAAAACAATAAATAATATTTAATATGGGATGAATAAATAATTTCAAAAGGAAGAATAGCAAGAGCAATCTTAGTATTTAAGAAGGATTTTCCATTTTCAATGAACTTTACAAAAATAATCAGTTCTCCCATGACAATGTAAAGGCACCTTTGTGCCTACTTATTCAAAACAAAGGAGACTTAGAAATACTGTACTTCAGAGTCAGTTCTGTGACCACTAAGGTCTGATGGGTCAAATACCTACCCTGTCTGTGGGATATTAATAAAGTAAATGTACAAACTAATACACAAAACTGTGCCCTTGAAAAATAATTTCCATTATTTTATCAACTTCGGTTTTATCCTTGAACATTAGAGGTCACTGTGGGACTTTCTACAAGGGTACCCAGTGTACTCAGCAACAACCATTCACCACCATATTGATTCTGAGTCTGGGATTTGTGACAAGTTCAACTGCCACATAAATTTCTCAGCTCTGAAAAAAAAAAAAAAAACCTCAACTAAAACCAACCATTTTGAGGAATATATAATTATTCATTTTACTAAACAAACAAACAAAAAAAAAAAAAACAGAAAAAGCATTGTAGAGCCTAGGAACATAAGTAAAGTAAAAAGGTTCTTTCAACACTTGCACATTCATTTATTTCTACTATAAACTTTCACAAAGCCAGAGAAAGGTTATCCACTGGGTCACTCCCCCTTGAAGCTAGGACTATAAATAATAATTGAAAAAAAGACCAGTTTAAAAGAGTACTAAATCCCTTTGATAGAGCAGTATATTGTTCATACAAGTCAGTATCTGGTTTCTCCAGCACTTCAAGACTCCATAGAATCACAAAATCCTTGGAGTTGGAAGGGACTTCAGAAGGCCATCTCGTCCAACTCCCCTGCAATGAGCAGGGACACCACAGCTAGATTCGGTTGCCCAGGGTCTGATCCAGTCTCACCTCCAAAGTCTCAAGGGATGGGGTATCAACCACAACACTAGGGTAACCTGTTCCAGTGCCTCACCACCCTCACTGAAAAATACGTTTTCCTTATATCTAACCTAAATCTACCCTTCCTGAGCTTGAAGCCATTTCCCCTTGTTCTATCATCACAAAACCTGCTGAAGAGTCTGTCCTCTTCTTTCCTGTAGCTCCCCTTTAGATATTGAAAGGCTGCTACAAGATCACCTCACATGCTTCTCTTCTCCAGGCTCTCTCAGGCTGTCCTCATACAAGAGGTGTTTCATTCTGTGCATCATTTCTGTGGCCTTTCTCTGGATGCACTCCACTTGCAGTATACATTCCAGGCAACTGCAGTTGGTAGTTTTTTTCTCCTTGAAACATGAAACAGAAGCATATTTCTCATCTTTAAAGACTAAAATATTTCAGTTAAAAAACAAACAAGCAAGAGATTGCCCCTCTTCTGTAAAACTAAGAATGCCCATTCCACATTGCCTGGTTTTAGGTTCATAGTAGGAATAATGTTGCTGTTCAGCTTGTCCAATCTTTATAATACAATATGAACACTAAAATATACATTCTGAAAGTGAACTTGCCACTACAATTTCAGTGACTCTCTTTCAAATGTTAAACGTATTTGCAACTGAGAGAATTCCAAAACGTAGGACCAAATTTTTGTTTCTTCTTGAGAAGACTTCTATGAGGACCAAAAAAACTCTCAAAATGTTAAAGTATTAATTAATTGAAAAATAGAAGTTTGGGCCACTAACTAGAAGTGCAATAAATTTAATTGGTCTAAAAAGACCATAAAATCATGCACTCATGATCATGTGAAATACAGATTTGTTATTTAATAACTTTAATGTATGAACATTATTGTTCATACTAAAACTAAACTAAAAGCATAGCATAAGTTCCAGGTATTCCAGAAAGAGTCAGGATTTGCAGCACAGCAATCAACTTATCTGAACATTCAATTTCAGCTGTGTCTGTGGAACCTATTTGAATCTTAAAACTACTCTCCACCACAATACTGTCCTCCAGGAGCACATTACTACCCACCGTTACACAATGTGCATTGTTCTTTCCCTCAATTCAGAGAATGGCTTTCTTTTGGTAACCAAATAAAAGTTACACAGAAGAATCTGCAATTTTGAAAGTAAAAGAATAACTCATAGGAATCTCCTAGTCATAGTTAATAAAACATTATCGTGTTACATTTTTTAAAAATGCATGTGCATTCAGTTACAAAACTGCATATTGGAAATAGATTTGTTATCATTTGAAGTCTCTTAGAGAAATCATTTGATGTATATAAATATAAACTACATATATATATATATATATATATAAATCCCTGCAATATATTTTCTTCCATGTACCTTCTGTTAGGAATTCATTGCTATTTTTTTCCTGCACTGAACCAGGAAAAAAAAAATACAAAAAATAGAAAAGCAAACTGATGACATAAGAAAGTAATCTGGACACAGGTGAAGCAGCTTTCCTAGATCACCAGTTTCATTTTTTCAGTATTTCAACCTACAGAATTAATTTTGGTTCAACAGAGAAGCAAGATAAGAAAAAAAAAAAATCCAATGAAATATTGGTTAATTAGAAAATATTATGAGGTTAGAGCCTACTTGGTGTCCTGCTCCAGGTTTTTTGTCTAAGCTTTTCATTGACTTCCAAAACACTTCATTTCTTTTAGAAAGGTGGAGACCTCTCTAGGAACTCAGTCTCTAAATACAGGAAAGACTGTGGCCTCTGCACAGCAGAACCAACCGAAAGAGAAACACCAAGCATGGGAAAGCCTACAGTTTTAAGTGATGCTACAGTAGAGAGTAAAATCCAAGATAGTAATTACCCTCAAAACGTTCAGGACGTATGGTAACAGGAAAACCGCTCAATCAAGAGAGAACTGCTATTATCAGGTGCACAGTGATGTGGGGAGCCAGCAGCAAGTCAATGCCAAGCCTCCATGTTACCCGCAGCACAAGCAAACGCTGCCCACACGTGTACTTTGCAACACAGCTTCCTGCTCCCACTCATCAGCACTGAAAACCAGAATATACAGCGAGCAACAGTTCACAGCATTGGCTTTGCCACTGCTGTTTAGCCAATCTCATCCCACTTCGTAATATAAAGGAAAAAAAGAAAACGGAGTAACCTCCAGTAACCAGCAGACCCATCGCGCCTCCCGCTCCACTTCTGCAGCCGCCCAACCGTAGCGCCACAGCCCCGCACCGCCCAACGGCCGCCCGAGAGGCGGAGCAGAGGGGCGGCGCGCAACGGAAGGCGGGCCGAGCTGTGCTGCGCTGCGCTACGTTGGCTGCGGCGCCTGCCTGCCCACCCGAGGCGACTCCTTCCTCCGTCGGCCTTCTGTTACCGCACCCCCCTCCCCTCTATTCATCCGTCATTCCGACTCTCTGCGCTTACGTCGGTGCACTCCGCCTCCCGCCCGCCCGCCGGCCGCTCACCTTCTCGCGGCGCTGCTCCGCTCGGCGGGGCGGGGGAAACGGAGCGCCTCCGCCACGCCGCTGGGGGCTCCTCGCCGCGCTTGCCCGGCCGGGCTCGGTCACGTGGGCGCACGGCGGCGCCGGGCGCTGCGTGCGGAGGGCGCGGGTCCCGCCGGGGCGGGCGGTAGCTGAGCCGCGCTGCTTGTAATGGCGGTGGCGTCCCGCCTCGTGCTGCCAACGGTCGCCGAACTGCGGGGCCCTCGTGGGGCGCTGGGGCGTGTCGGGAGTCCTGCCCCGCAGCCAGTACGGGCTGACGGCTCGCGTCCTGTTAACTGACACGTCTTGCAGTCCCGTTCTCATTTTTTCCTCTGTGTTGGCAGTAGATGTAGCAGTCCTGTGTTACCACTTCACAAGCTGCCAGTCGTCTGTTCAGAATGAAAGCTGTTTTCCTCTGGCTAGCACTAATGGTTATGTTAGGGCTTGTGATTTTCCCCCAAAATTCAGAGCTTTTTTTATTATCAGCAAGTGCCTTCATGGTCTGAAGCAGGCGGGTTTTCAGAACAGTTCATATATATTTAGGAGAAAATGGGCACGTTTGTACTGTAAAATCCCTTTAGGGTTCGTAAGCACACACAAAATCATCCAATTCCAACCCCCCTGCCATGAGCTGGTTGCCACCCACCAGCTCGGGCTGCACAGGGCCCCATCCAGCCTGGCACTGAAGACCTCCAAGGCTGGGGCAAGCACAGCTTCTCTGGCCAGCTGTGCCAGCACCTCACTCTGATTATTTCCTTCTGTCATCTAAATCATCTCTTTTTCATTTTAAAGCCGTTCCTCCTTGTTTTATCACTACCTGCCTGTACAGAAATGTTTGTCCCCCTGTTCCATTTATCCCCATGCTCCATTTAAATACTGGGAGGCTGTAGTGAGTTTCCACAGTCTTTTGTTCCCCAGGCAGAACAAGTCCAGCTCCCTCAGCCTGTCTTCATGGGGGAGGTGCTCTGCTCATTCTCAAAGGCCCTCTCTGGACCTGCTCCAACTCCGCATCCTTCGTGAGCTGGATGCAGTTCTCCAGGTGGGGCAGCAGGAGGGTCGGAGCAGCTGCAGGGCTTATTGCAGGTGCTGGAATAGTGTTGAGTGCTGCTCAGCAGGCCCAGCATGTTGCAGGAATTGCAGGCTTTGGAATTGCCCAAGTGGTGGTGTGTGTTTTTCAAACATTTTACCAGTTTTTCAGGATTCTGCAGTTGTTCAGGAGTGAACTCCAGAAGCACGGAGGTGCCTGCCCATATCTTCCCACACACTCTGCCACTCATAAATATCCTGCTTTGGGACTTGATCTCCGTGTAATATTTTTAAACAGATGTTTCACTTTATACTAGGCATGTCAAACCCACTCGTTTTGTTGCCTTCTTGCCTTTTTTTTTTTTAATAAAATATATTTTTTTAAGGTTTTATTACTGGTATTCATTAACTATGTTGTATTTTATATGTGGCTCAAAACAATTCCTCTTCACTCAGTGTGGCCCAGGCAAGCCAAGAGGTGGAATGCCCATGATTTACAGGTTGGATGTAAGAATTCATTGCTGGTATTGAGACTGCAAAACGTAAAGTATCACAAGGTTGAGTTACTTCAACATTTCTGAATATTTAGCAAATAGCATAAACCAGCTATTACATACAGTACCATCTTTCAGCATTGTCACAGCTAAGGAGTTAAATTTCCTTAGTGGAATCAGTCTTCTTTGCTGTTCTTTCTCATTACTGAGGCTTATTTCTGAATCATTTATCCTGCACATGCATTTTAAAGGTGTGTAATTAACTGGTTGCAAGTTGTTAGGCAATTGATGAAGCGTGAACTGTGCACTGATTTGTTTTCTTTATTTACATGTTTCCCATAATACTCCGATGAGAGCAGGATGTTGAGGCTTTTTTACACTTTGTATCATTCCTTGCCTGTTTGGCCACATTAGGAAGAGTTTTGTGAAGCCTTTTGCAATTCCTCAGATTTCATTAAAAATTAGTATCCAGTGAAGCCTTAATCAACAATTAGTAAGTGTTAAAATATGAGCAAAAACAAACAGTCCTGTCACTTGCTCAAATAATGGGTTAAGAAATTACCTGCATTTATCCAAACTGTAACAGTACAAGTGACTGCTCTCAGCTTGTTTACAAGTAAGAGTTTTCTGTTCATTTCTTAGTCCTTCCCCACCTATTCCTTTCTCATCAGGGAAAATAATAATTGTGTTCAATACTTTCAGCCAAGAGATACAGCAAGAGAAATTTTAAGACAGCTTCATTCCTGGGAAGAGATGTTTTTAAACAGTGCTTTGTGCAAAGGTGCCTTGGAAATTCGTTGCCTGCTTTATTTTAGCCTTGTTTCTAGCAAGCACAATAAATAGCACTATAAAGAGTCAATATTCTTACACATGACCTTTTGCTAATTCTGGCTTATCTACTTATATTTTTTCTGTGTGGCTTAGCAGAGCAGTGTAGTTTGCAAGAGTTTGCACTCAGATTGCTTCCAAATCTCTCCACCTATGTTATGTTTGTCACAGAATGGGTTTGGTTGATATTTTTTCTGAGTCTTGATACTGAATCCTGCAGTCCAGCTGACCTAATAAGAAGTAGGAGTGTCTCCTAGACCTGTAGCGCTGGTGTCTCCAGAAAGTGTTACGATACATCTTACATTTAGTCTGTATGATTTTTACTATTACAATTTCCTCGAAATTGTAATAGTAAAAGGAAATACAATTTCCTCCACAGCTTCCACTGTGCAATGAAAAAAACACCACTTCTAAACAATAACAATGAAAAGCCTTCCTGTCACCTGTTTTCTGTACTGTACCTTAAAAAATGGTAGTGTCTGGTCACACTGGTTTTGAGGAGAAGGAACAAGAGAACAGCTAGGTGGGCAACACCCAGCTGCCCATGTCCACAACACTACGTCAAAGATGCAGTGCTCTCAGCTGTGAAACCGAGCCCCTATGCCCTTTGATACCCCACAAGGCTCCCTTAGATCTCAAGAAACCCCCCTATCTTCTTTGCAAGCAGACTCAAGATCCTGCTTGTAGCCCTTCACAGGAGAATATGCCTGTGGCCTTCAGCATATATGGAAACATAACTTGAGCATGATGTAATAAATTGGTCCTCTGGGTCTTGGGCAAGGGAGGCATCAAGGCACTTCACTAACAGCCAGATGGGTGTCAGACAGCAAGCTCATTTCGGGAGTTTCCTTTCCCCACTAGAGCCAACCACAGACCTGCTCAAGCCACAGCCATTCAGGCAGACTGCCAAATTTGGCTGAGATTACTTAATCATATGCCTGCTGAATCTCAGCAATTTGGCTGAAATATCCATTCCAACATGCAGGGGAGAGAGAACCAACTAGTAAGCTACCTCATGACTTACGGTAGAAGCTGGTACCTGCACTGGGGATGGAAAGGTGAAGGGACAGGCCTGCAGACTGGAAAGTGGCCATTCCAGATTTGTACAGAGATATGCAGCACAGCTGCTTAATAAAAAACAGCTTCTGCAGTTTCTGTAATACTCATCTAAAGCCACGTACTAGCTATTTTATGACAAAAAAGCATTACTGAGGTCAAGATGGCACAGCATGCCCAGCTAGCTTAGAGGTGTAGGCAGAGGTCATCATTTTTTTTTCTTCTATTTACTAAAGAGGTAGTAATGATCATTATAATCAGCACTCCAGGTCTTAGCGATCACTGTGGGTGAACCTGCTTGCTGGGAGGTCACACTAACGCTAGCAGCACTTCAGCCTGCTAATGTCTACCTTGTAGGATGCACAGGCACTTTGCTTACCCCATACAGTACAGACAAGTCCACAGTGAGGACTGGCACATCATTAGCTCTATGGGAATATGCCTCAAAGAGGTGGCACAATGATATACATCTACATAGGGCTGCCTCCTCCTCTTTCCTCCTTAGATCAGTGACTGCTGCCATACCTGTCCTGGCAACAATTTCTTTTCTTTCTCCCTGCCACGTCTTCAATCTTTCAGACAAATTCCTTGACCCTTTCCCACTGCAGCAGATATCTCCCCCTGTTACCTTAACAACAAGAGCAGCTCAGCTGCACCAGGCAGCCATGACTGGAGTTTTTTTTCTCCTCTCACTGAAAACAGCCACTCACTTCTTTCCTCAGCATCAGTCTAAAATGCTGATGTTAAAATGCATCGACCTGAAGTATGCCAGGTTCCTGACCTCCTGCTAGGAGGGCCTAAGATAGATTTTACCACATGCCTTGAATTCTTACATCTTTTCTATGCATGTATCTTGAAGATGCTAATTATCTTTTGAAAAGTTATCAGCTTGCTACAAGTTGAACAGATGTCACTGGCCCAAGTCTCCATATCTAAAGGGCATCAAATAACCAGGGAGTACTCGAACCTCTCATGAAAACCAGGACTAGGAACATGCCTGAAGATCTGGTGTCTATAGAAAATATATGTGTTGTGATGTGTAAAAATATATTTATGTCACTGACACTTCTCTGTGTTGTCAAATGATAGAAATGTGTGCTAACCCCAAATTAGTTACCCAGTTATGTTTGCTTCACTGCAACAAACACAATAATGAGCAAGAATATTTAGTATTGGAAGGGAATAAGCTAAAGTCTTCAGAGTCACTAGCTAGCAAGTATTTTCAGATAGGCATCTCCTCATCACTGGTGCAAACACAAGAACAAGCACACGTTCCTGACACACTGATGCTTTTACTTAAGCACGACCATCTCCAGTCTTACAAAGCCTATTCAAGCTAGATTTATCTACAACAATATGGACAGGCACAAAATACTTGGAAGGAAATAAGGGTCATAATCTAGGCTGTCTTTTATAACATTAATATGTGACCACAAGAATACATGGGATGAAAAAATCTGGGTCTAATTTTCTTATTATTCTAGGACTGGAATTCCAATCTGAGACATTGACCTCTGCCCTCTGGGATGTCTTCCCAGGGAACCTAACAGGTGCTGGCACCTGCACTGCTACATATCTCTCTGAGAGAGAGTCAGGTCCAGTGACAAGTCAACCTGAACTGTTTGGAGGAGCAGCATGAGTTACTATGGTTGTGGAGTGGGGCTCAAATAAGGCACAAAGGACAGGAAAAATTCAGAATTCTTTGTATTGGAATATGAAGGCTGGGGACAGCTATGAGCAACTGGTGCTGTTCTTCTGTGTAAACAATCCTGTGAGGAACAAAAACAAGGGGTGGAGCTCATGTAGCTCATGTATTGTGGTTGCAGAGAGTCAAGGCAGGCAGCTGATGATGTATTTAGCGTACATGCAGGGTCCAGTTCATGTGTGTAAGTAAGCAGCTACTGCAGTGCTGAAGACCACATTGTTTTGATGCTGTTCTAATTAGCCCATTGTCGTCAGTGAAGGTATTAACATAAGGTTGGAAACATGGAGTACATTTGAATTCTGTTATGTGGCAAATGCATCAAAGCCATTTATATTATGCTCTCTGGAAATACATCAGAAAGACCCTCCCAGCCTCCACTCAAACTGAGAAGATCCAAAAATAAATGTGCCAGCTCTCTGCATCTGCTCTCTCTGATAACTCCAGCATCAGACTTAGAGCAGATCATCTGGGAAGTCCAAATCCATCAGCCAGGGAGTTTAGAGGTGCAGCTGCTCTGGGAAGATGGCAGCCCAGTGCTTGGGGGAGAGGCTGGCCGCTGGCAGTGATAAGCTTGGGCTAAGGCATTTTGCAAATACAGTCATGCCAGGAGCTTCAGAACCACATTCACTGATGATATCAAGGCTCAATGCCTGAATGTCCTTATTTTCCTTTCTGTTTTCTTCTGGAACATGAAGGAGTTTTTATTTACACTCCATCACTATCACTGGCAAACATTAGCATGACTATTTCATAATATAGGTCACTTCATTATCAAGAACTTCTTGGAAAACCTCCTCTGCCGTCACCATGAACAGATAGCCCAGGCATTCTGTTTCCTTTAACTGTGAACATCCTGGGCCATCCAAGCAGTGATTTCCTCACAGTACTGCCAGATTCAATGGAATTTGTTGCTTTGTTTATGACAGCTGTATACGAGGGAAGGACTGACTGGTTCAGCTGGGGTCCTAGGTTACAGTCCTTTTGGCTTACAGTCACCATGTGGTTAAACATAAGGCCCTGTGAATTTTGTTTGTTCCATAGTTTGTAACGATTGATGCCATGTCTGATAATCCAGAGGTAACAAAAGCACATGATAGGACATGTCAAGCTGCACAGCTATGCAGGATCTGTGTTAGCAGATTCAAATAGATCCAGGGGACCCTAACAAGCCATCTAGACAACTGCATGGTAAGCAGCTGCCCTGCAGAGCTGAGTGTTTCCAGGTTTCCATCTTTATCCTCA